GAATTTCCGAATTTAAATAAATCTCTGTCTGTCTGTCTGTCTGTCTGTCTGTCTGTCTGTCTGTCTGTCTGTCTGTCTGTCTGTCTGTCTGTCTGTCTGTCTGTCTGTCTGTCTGTCTGTCTGTCTGTCTGTCTGTCAGTATAAATAAGGCAGGTATAATATTCGGACCGGATCGCTAGTCCGCGTCGGATCGGATCGCCAGTCCGCGTCGGATCAGGTCGGATCGTGCAGGTATAAAAGTCGGACCCGATTGTGATCCGGGTCGGATCATGTAGGTATAAAAGTCGGACCGGATCCATAGATCACCGAATCGCTAGTCCGGAATTGAAGGAAATAAAATGTTGATAAGGCAGTTCGATGCAATAATTTTCAAAAAAGTGGTCTAAAATCTAATAACATAAAATGTTTTACCTTCGTCGCCATCCATTTTGCAGATTTGCCACGCTGTTTCAAGGCCTGGTTCCACGAGCGCTTTTTCTCGGCGAAATGCGAATTATTTCGCCTGTTTCTTTTGAATTGCGACTACTCGAATAAATTATTTCTACTTGATTGCTCACAATTCAAAAGAAACAGGCAAAATATTTCGCATTTCGCCGAGAAAAAGCGCCCGTAGAATCAGGCCTTGCCTTCACGCTGTGTAAGTAACGCAGGAAAGAATGCAAACTTCCACTTGTGTAAGTAACATTTCCCTGAATATCCTGATATTTCTAAATTTTCTAAAGATCCGACCTAATCCGACTTGATCCGACCCGGACCACAATCCGGTCCGACTCTTATACCTGCCTGTATAAATATATTTAATAATATAAAGTATAAATATACGGCAAAAAAATCAGTTTCAATATGCATGTTGTAAAATATAAACATATTATATTAAAATTAAAATTCAGTGGCCTGATTCCTATTTTATTGATATAAAATATAACATTCTGAGTTGTCTATATTTTGATATTAAATAATATGCTTGACATGAAATCTTCTTTAATACTCCCCCCCCCCCCC